CTTTATAATTTAATCCCTGAATTTTAATATTTTAATTTTAAATAATATTATGTGTTTATTTACAATTATAATACTTAATTTATTAATTATTTGAAATAGTTACCTTGAATTTTGTAGTTTTATAATTTAGTCACTAAATTTAGTATATTCATTATTTTAATTTAGTATTTATATATATTTGTTAATCCCTTATTAATTATAACATTTTTAAACGTTATTTTACTCGAAGAATTTATAGAAACACACCTTAACTAACAAGGAGTGTGTTTCTAAGGATTATTCATATAAAATAATATCACATTTTTCGTATCATAATTTAAATATTATTCGAATTTGTCAATTTTAATATTGAGATGACGTATAATCGTGTAAGTACCAATTTTGGGCGTTGCGGGTGCTAATCCTTCCCCACACGTAACCGAATCCCGAACCCGATTTCAAAATGAATCTTTGGTCAATCGCAGATCAAAATTTTTATCTTTTAAAATTATTTTTCTTAAAATTATTTTAAAAGATATTTTTAGGTATTCGACTTACCTAACCCAAAGGTCAATTGGAGACTCCAAATTTGTCTATTTATTTAAAACTCAACATGTCTCAATATTAAGGGTCAATCGCAGATCAAAATTTTTATCTTTTAAAATTATTTTTCTTAAAATTATTTTAAAAGATATTTTTAGGTATTCGACTTACCTAACCCAAAGGTCAATTGGAGACTCCAAATTTGTCTATTTATTTAAAACTCAACATGTCTCAATATTAAGTCGGATCGATTCCTGAAAAAAACCCTAAAAAGCTAACAGAGATTATCACAAAGGGGTCATCACCCCTCAAAACCATCTAAACGCCAACCTTTAACCCTCATTTTTCTCTAAACCAAACCCCATGAGCCCTAAAACTCCTTTGAACCTTAACCCAAAATGAAAGAAAACTACCTTTGATGCTAAACCAACCCCCTCGTCGCTGGTGAGGTCCTTTAAAAATTTGAGGTATGATTTCTCTTTTCCCTTCTTTTCATTTTTTTCGTTTTTTCTTTTCTGTTTTTCGAGTGTTTTTTGCTCGCTTCTTTTCTTTTTTCTCCTTATTTTCTTTCAAAAATCGAATCCATCCATATATCACTCTGTTTGGCTCGGTTTTTGTGATGGATTTGGTGATAGCAGAAGGTAGGGAATGATTTCCCCTAAGCATGCATTAAAAGATCTGGATTTTCCGGGATCTTTGGATTTTAAAATGGGTTGGTTGATTTTTTTATTATTTTTTTGATTTAGTTTCCTGTTTTCCTTGATCTGCTGACGTTGAATGGCTGGTGGAATCACCGGGAATTGATGGCTGGAACAGTGACGACGACGGAGGACTTATGCTAGCAGCGAAGGCGACTAGGACCCTAGGGTTTCATAAAACCCTAATTGGTTTGGGTTAGGGTTTTACAGGGTTGATCATGGGCCTAGGAGTTGGGCTTTGATCTGGGCCCAATTGTGGGCTTGTATTTGTAATTGGGGCCTAATTTGGGCTATTGTAAATGGGCCGACTTCGCGTTTGTATGCAAAATAATAAAAATAAAAATATATAAATAATAATAATAATAATAATATTAATATTAATAACAACCCGTACAAAATGGGTATCTACATCGGCCATCAGGTCTAGGGGTCTTTTCACTTTTTCATATCTTCTTTGATTCCAATTTAATCAATTTTTAATAACCATATATATATATATCATATAGAGTTGAGGGATTCGACTCAAACTTGAAAACTAATCCACCAATTACTAAAAATTTTGAGTTATTCGAGTTCTGTTTTATAACTCAACTAGAATTTTTTCCAAAATTGAGTTAAGTTTTTCTGAGTCGAGTCCAATAAAGAATTTCATTTTTTTTCAAGTCGAATCAAGTTTTTCTTTCCGTGGTTACGTGAATACTTATATATGTCAAGATCAATTCTAATAAATGGTTGATATGAGATTTTAAGAGTTTGTGTCACGGCACTAGCTGCTTAATTGATGCGTTGTTATCCAAGATTTGTGGTAGAATTTTGCAGTATTAATTTGCAAAACAATATGTAATTGAAACAGAAAGTTACAACACCAAGTGGAAAATAAAAGAGTTGAAAAAAACCATTGAATTAATTGGCACAATCGTGAAAAATGGGTCCAAACATTTGGTCCTAAGTGATGCCTTGAGACGTATGATTTGGGGTACGGTCCATGGTGAAACAGGCTGGCTTTGATTTGTGTGAATGTGACAAATTTTGAAACTACTCGTAAATAACAAATGATGAATATGTTTGATTCCAATCTTCAATCAAAATAAGATTCTATCAATGGGTCGGTTCAAGTGGTAAACAACTTGATATCGCTTAAGTTAATATTGAATTCGAGTCCTTGTGTATGCAAAAAGTCTCCGCTGGGAGACTCATCCACCAAAACCAGGTGTGCGACCCGAGTTGATCCGAATTAATCAAGATAAAACTTTAAGAACCGAAAGGACAACCACAAAATAAGATTCTCAATTGATGTACTGAGACTAAGTCTTTCATATTTGGTTTTCCTTTTGTGCCCAATAATTTTGCGTATGTCTTACTCCAATTGTGACAGTTTGTTGATTGATGGATATGTTTGATTCCAATGCTCAACAAAATAACAATACACATTAAATACTAATCTCAATTTCATTTTATGAATAAATGTCTTTTTGATTAACTATGTTCTAAAAGTCATCGAAGTCTTTGTTTCCATCCATTCCCTAATTTCCTCGAAGTCCACTGAAATTAGACTGAGACAATCAATCCTTTCCAACAATCACATTTGCATCCTTGTATGAATTATTTTTTGACTCAAATTATAATCAATATTTAAGTTGGATTTTATTATAATTATAGTGGTTGAGGATTATTTGATAATTAAGTTTATTTAGTAAGAAAATATTTATTTTAGACAATAATTCCTATGGAATAGAGTCCTTTAAAATAATGAGAAAATTATTTTTGAGAGATATAATCATCTTGTACTCTCTACATATTTTGGGGTTTATATTACAAAGATGAGTTTTATAGGGATATTAAGCGAGTGATTTTGGATACTTTGGGTTTGGTATAGATCAGAGTTTTAAATAGCGTTCGCGGTCACGTTTTCGGTTGCATTGCATTTATCACGGTTGCGGATCAACGGATGCTATTGAGATCATTGTGGATATCGCAATCATGAATTTTTTCGAATGAGCCGATTTTTTTAATAAAAAAATCTGTTTTTAAAAAAAATTAAAATAACGGAATAATAGCGGAATAACGGTCCGCTATTGCCGCGATTAGCCGCGATCCCCTAAATTGTAGCCGCGATCCGCCGTTATTGATGTGATCCCGCTTCACACCATTATTTTCCGCGATAGCGGTTTCAGACACTGCCGCGACCACGATATAACGGCCGCGATACCGCTATTTCGGTCGCTATTTGAAACCTTGGTATAGATATCAAATTTTATGATGCATGTGATATTATGTATTTGTACGCTTCATGATTTCTACGTATATAATGGGTTAATATTCTACTTGTTCGTAAAAGTAGACAAAGTCAAACCACATTAAATCTCATTTCTTACATATATCTTATTTTACGTTGGTACCATTTTGTGCATGTTTCTAGATGCATGCAACTATAGAAAATGTCATTGTTGATATTTATTGATCTAATATATTTTAGTTTTATATTTTATAGAGCTAATAAACTAAATTAATTTAAACATTTGATATTATAATACTATTTGATTCCTCCCATCTAAACGATAATGACGTATCACCATTTAAAAAAGAATATATTCTTGTAATTTTCATTTGAATATGACTTGTTTTCCACGGTAATAACTTGATATGAGTGTTTTTAGTAAAATCGGTTTCTAAGTTTTTTTTTATAGAGGACTCTAATTTTATTAAAAATAGAAAATATTTAAATTATAATAAAAGTTTATAACCACAATCGTAAACTAAACACATGATAAGAATATTTTCTTAAACACAAGAAAACTAGTCACTTAAAATCACACAAGGGCCATACAAGGAAAAATTAAAAAACCTAACCAAATAAACTCGAACAAGAGGAAAATACTAACATATTTGACCGCATCGGCAAGCGAACCACAAAAGAGAATAAAGCTATTAAAAGACCACCGATAAACCGTAAATCAAAATCGAGCGATGTGAAAATGTTATCCACAAACGCAAATCATATATCCAAATTCAATTTGATGGTCCAAAGTAGGGAAGATCACCATGATAAAAAAAATAGGTGTCATCTTGATCAAATGTGATGATGTTAAATCCAACCCTGGAAAAAAAAACAACGGCCAAACAATCGAAAACATGCCATAGAGGCAGAGAAAAACATGCCATAAAGGCAGAAGAATATGTGCCAAAAAGGCAAAATTATTAAGAATAAAAAAAGAAATTAAACACAAATATACGCTATAATAAAGCAAAGAAAATATAATGAATACCGACGGTCGACAATCAGTACCAAGACTGGTGTCGTCGCTGTCACAAAGATGAAGAAGAAAAGAGACTAACGACGGCTCACAATTAAGGAAAAAGATAGAAAAAGAGAAAATTGGTTTCAAGTTAGATTATTTATGATCAAATTCAATTTATAATTTGAATTGAGATTTTCTTAGAACTAATTGAAAATAATAAAAGTATATATTAAAAAAAATCATAAACTATTCGAATTGCATATTAAAGTATTTAAATTTAATTCTTGTAATAATTTAAATATTCAAATTACTGAAATAATACGTTGAGAAGCAAGGTTTGCAGTACATGGTTTGAATAATTGGAATAACAAAATTAAAATTAAAATGGTAAGTTACATACCACATGAAGTAGAAAACGATAGAGAGAAAAAAGTCATTGAATCGTGAAATATGGGTCCAGACATGAAGTCTTAAAAAAAGTATATCAGTTTTACTCTTCAACTCGAGACCAAGTCTTGCATTTTAGGCCTTCCATTATGTGCCGTGTATTGTGGTTGGTGCCTTCTTATCCAAATTATGACTCAAAGGATACCCTGCCTAAATCCATGTTATTTAAAGACACTGAACTAACAATAGAGAAGCATTAAACCCAGTTGTTTCTCTCTTCATGATTTGCATTATACTCAAACCCAACCATATGGCAAAAACTCCCTTCCTCCCTCCTCTTATGTTTCTGCTGCTATTTGCAACTTTTAAGACTACTTTGTCTGTCAATATCACCACTGATCAATCTGCCCTTTTAGCCTTAAAATCCCATATCACTCATGATCCCCACAACTTCCTAGCAACCAACTGGTCCACTTCTACCTCTGTTTGCGATTGGATTGGTGTCACCTGTGGATCCAGACACCACAGAGTCACTTCTCTAAATTTATCATTTATGGATCTCTCAGGCACCATTCCATCTCAATTGGGAAATTTATCTTTCCTTGCCTACCTCGAAATTTGTAGCAATAGTTTCAATGGTGCTTTACCAATTGAGTTAAGTAATTTGCATCGGCTGAAACAATTGAACTTTGGTAACAACAGCTTCAGTGGAGAAATCCCATCATGGTTTGGTTACTTTGCTCAACTTCAAGGCCTGTTTTTGTACATGAACAACTTCACTGGTGTTATCCCGTCCACTCTTGGCAATCTGTCAAAACTTAAAAAGTTAAACTTGCTCAGCAACAGTGTCCAAGGGCAAATCCCCATGACTCTAGGAAACCTTTCAAACTTGGAATATTTATATCTGGGTTATAATTCTCTTTCAGGTCCCATTCTTTTCTCAATCTTGAATTTATTTTCACTAGTAAAAAGTTTATTTTATAACTAACGTTATCATTGCAGGCCATCTACCCTCACTTGAAAATTTTCAATTTTTTTCTTATTTTTTGTTATCTAATTATTGCAGGCCATCTACCCTCACTTGAAAATTTTCAATTTTTTTCTTATTTTTTGTTATCTAATTTTTATATACACTTGAACCATCAATTAATTATTTAATATCAAATTAGGGCAGACTAGATGAATAAGTTATAACCTACACATTGAAATAAGTTGTATTGTTAGTCTTCTTTGAATCAAATACCTTAGAGCTATTTTTATATTTCTGTAGTTTTTTAAATCTTTACCCTCTTAATATAGTAATACTTTTGGCTATGAAAAAATAAATTAGTTTCACTTTTCAGACTTCTAACTACTTGAATATGATATTAAAAAACTGTATGTAATATTGTCATGTTTAGTGCTTGATTTTTTTTGGATGCTTCATTTTTTTTTTCAGACCTAATATTTCCAACTATTTGGAGTTTTCATAAGTAGTAAAACAATTTAATAAATTTAATTTTTTTTTTAAAAAATAAAAGAAGTGCAAAACATATATCTATAGCTGTTGAAAACCTGACCTCCCTCGCATACATAATGTTTTTTTCTAATAACGATTTTTTTTGGTAAATACGTTTTTGGACTGAATAATTTTAACTATTTGCAACTTTCATAAGTACTAATGAAATATACTGAATAAAATTTTCAAGTTTAAGAAATAAGGAAAGAAATGGAGAACAAATGCCTCTAGTGCTCAACATAAAAATTAAGGTTTTGTTAGAAAAAATAATAATAAATTTTGATTAATTTATTTACATGTTTAACGTGAAATTTCATTAGTTATTACAAACTTTACTTATCTTGAGAATAATAGTCTTTTACAAACTTTACTTATCTTGAGAATAATAGTCTTTCTTCTAACAACAACTTTAAAGATATAAGATTTTATATTTTTATCAATCTTGAAACTAACAATCTCACTGCAAGTCATCTAGAGTCGGGAATATTTGATAACCTTTCTAAATTGCAAGTATTAAGCTTGGAGGAAAACCATATTTCTAGTAGCATTCCCAATAGTTTATACGAGTGCAAAGTTAAAGGTTGGACTGATTATTTATTGCGCAGGTCATATTCCTTGGTCAATCTACAACATTTCCTCTTTGCAAGTAATTTCTCTGGGATTCAACAATCTCTTTGGTTCTCTCTCCTCCAATATGTTCGATTATCTTCCTCAATTATCTATTCTTGATTTGGAAAGCTGTCAACTTTCTGGAAGAATTCCAATGAGTTTATTCAAATGCAAAGAGTTAAAATATATATACTTGTATGATAATCATTTGGAGGGAACTGTGCCATTAGAAATCTCAAATTTAACTTCACTTCAACTTTTCGGCATCCAAGGAAACAACTTTTCAGGTAACTTAAATAACACATCCTACTTTAATAATGTGTTTAAATATAAAAGAGATATTTCAATTGAATTTTTTAATTTATATTGTCTTAATTTATTTTAGTTTTTTAAATTTATTTTCTTAACATAGTAATATTCTTAGCTCATAAGAAAATAATACATCTTTTAACTTTTTATTAGGCCAAACTTGTGCAACATATATAACGTCTTGAATTGATGAAAATAATAAAACGTATTCATGTCTTGCAATTGGATGTGGAGATCAATAAACCAATTGTACGTTTTCCTTGAGTCCTATTATTTAATATGAGACAAATAGAGTATACAAGTTCTAGATCTAGTTACGGAACATATAAAATTACCTAAATTCTAAAAATATAAACATAAAGACTCAATCACACTACTATAGACATAATATACTTATTTCGTCAAATTATTCTGACAAATTTAATTTTATATTTCAGGTACAATTCCATCGGTTATAGGAAATATAATTTCTCTAGAGATTATTAATTTTTCGGATAACAACTTGACAGGTATAATATAACTTTTTATCCTATTTTTTTGTTATTTTGTTATATATTTATTAATTAGTTATAAGATAAATCATTTAAATATTAAACTCAGATAAATCCATTCTAAAATGATTTAAATTTAAAATATCTTATTTTTTCAACTCGAAATTAACTATACCAAATTAAACTCAAATTATTCTGACAAATGCCGATTTGCAATTGTCATCTTTTTGTTTAATGACAAGAATATTCAAAATCATTTTAAAAACAATTATATATTTTACTACAATTCATGCTCCATAAATGGTATTGGTTTCATGTAAGAAAAAGCCTGATGTTGTTAAGTAAATTAACAAACATTATTTATTTGTTTCAAAGATTATTCAAACTTCTGATTCAAACTCTATTTCATATTTTCTGCAAGGTCAAATTCCTTCCTCATTATGCAATTTGAGTTCCCTTATGGCTCTCTCATTATTGAACAATGGTTTGGATGGAACAATTCCGGAATGCATTGGAAACTTGAGTTCTCTTTCGATGCTTGAACTAGGGATGAATAATTTTCATGGTAAAATACCTGAATCTTTTGTTAAAGGTTGCAGCTTAAAAAGTTTTCTAATCAACAACAACCAAGTAGAAGGGTCACTGCCACGATCTTTGGGTAACTGTAAAGAATTGAAGCTTCTAGAGGTCAGCAACAATTATTTAAATGACACTATTCCAAAATGGTTACGAAATTTGGATGAGCTACAAGGGCTTGACTTGAGATCAAATAGATTCTATGGTACGGTTGATAGCTCTGATGTTATGATGTCCTTCACTTGTTTGGATATCTTTGATGTTTTTCGTAATAGTTTCAGTGGCTACCTACCTGTGAATATTTTTGAAAATTTGCATGCCAGTAGAGAATGGACTGAAAAGAAAGATAAATTAGAATACAAGATAGATGTAATTGCTCGTAATTTGGTAACTTTTTTTTATTTCATTGGAAATTTTTCTGTCCACAATTTGGTAATTTGTAGCATATAATGTGATATCCAAGTGAATTTTTAAAAATATATTTGTTGATTCTCTAGCAAAAATGGTATTTATTTTACATACCTAGCTTTTGGAGAGTGAACCGATTTTCCATTGTTGTCCTTTTGTTTAATGAAAAAAAATATTTAAAATCATTTTAAAACTAATTATATATTTTGCTTAAATTTAGGCTTCATAAAGGGTATTGGTTTCATCTAAGAAAAGGCGTGATGTTTTGAAGTAAATTAAACAATAATGTCTATTGGCTATACGCATGATGAATGTTTTACATTAGAAACATTATTTGTTTGTTTCAAAGATTATTCAAACTCCTAATTCTAACCCTATTCCATATTTTCTGCAAGGTCAAATTCCTTCCTCATTATGTAATTTGAGTTCCCTTACGGAGCTCTCTTTATCGAACAATAGTTTGGATGGAACAATTCCAGAGTGCATTGGAAACTTGAGTTCTTCCCTTTCATCCCTTGACCTACGGATGAATAATTTTCATGGTAAAATACCTGAAAATTTTGTTAAAGGTTGCACTTTACAAAGTTTTCGAGTCAACAATAACCAAGTAGAAGGGTTACTGTCACGATCTTTGGGTAATTGTAAAAACTTGAAGCTTCTGGATGTCAGCAACAATTATTTAAATGACACTTTCCCAAATTGGTTAGGAATTTTGGATCAGCTACAAGTGCTTGACTTGAGATCGAACAGATTCTATGGTAAGGTGGATAGCTCTGATGATACCTTCACTCATTTGCGTATCATTGATCTTTCTCGTAATAACTTCAGTGGCTACTTACCTATGAACTTTTTTGAAAATTTACATGCCATTAGAGAAGTGAATGAAAAGAAAGTTAAACCAGAGTACATGAAAGATGCAAGAGCTTTTACAGCAGAATATACTGTGATAGGTTTATCTTTTACAACAAAAGGATTGGAAACAAAGTTTGAGAAACTATCAACCATATGGACACTTATTGACTTCTCCAGCAACCAATTCTCCGCAGAAATTCCTAAAACAATTGGAGAGCTTCACTCACTAATTGTCCTAAATCTCTCTCATAATTGTTTAACAGGTCCTATCCCATCATCATTAGATGATTTGTCAGAACTTGAATCATTAGATCTCTCATCAAACAAGCTCCATGGAAGAATTCCAACAGAGTTAAAAAATCTTGGATTCCTAGAGGTGTTAAACCTTTCTCATAATAATCTCACGGGACCTATTCCTCAAGGCAAACAATTGGATACTTTCAATAATGATTCCTACATAGGAAACTTGGGTTTATGTGGATGGCCGTTATCAGAAAGTTGTCATAATGATGAGGGAAATCCAACTAAATTTGATAGAGATGATGATGGATTGAATTGGAAATTTTCAATATTGATGGGGTATGGATCTGGGTTGGTGCTGGGACTGAGTACGGGATACATTGTATTTGCAACTGGAAGACCATGGTGGTTCATTAAGATCTACGAGAGAGTTCGACAAAGATTTGAAAAAAAGGTAAAAAAGAGATCTCTTTGACGGATTTGTGTTGCAAAACAAGCAGTGGAGAGAGCAGAAAACTTCATATATATCTATTGCCGCGTGGGTGCTTTTCTGTATGTATTATGTTTTCCTGCATCCTCTCATATAGCAGCGTTCCGTTGAGTATTTCCACCTTGTAATGACTATCTTAATCGGTATTTTCTAGGCGTTTCACTTCCGTTTAAATAAATTTATCGTGGGTTAATTTCTTTCAAAGATAGAGTTTGGCAAGAATCAAGGTAGGTAATAAGAATTGAAACAGAGGGATGCCGTTATCAAAAAGTTGTGGTATTGATGAGGGATGATGAGTGTTCTAAATTGATGATGTTTTCTTGTTAATTCTTCTATTTTGTGAATTTATTAGTGATGATTTAGTTGTATTGTCTTTATTTTCGTGCAGGATCTTGTATGAGTGGTCTAGTTTTGTTGTTGTCCGAGACCAGTTGGCTTAAGCTTTGCTAGTGTTGGTTGTTTCAAATCTTTGTTCGAAATCGAATCCCTTGAGGGGTTTAGTTTTGCTTTATTTCTCTTTTTTGTTTGCTTTCTTGTGCAGCAGGTAGCTATTAGGTAGGCGGGTGCTGTGGCAGCCCTTTTATTCTGGGGTTTTTCCTTAGATTGTGTTTTGTGTTCCTGGGTCAAAGTACTCTTTTCCTCTACTTTGGCTTAGGTAGGTTTTTAATGAGGCTTTGAACTAAGTCGCTTCTTTTAATAAAATTAATCCTTTGCCGATAAAAATATATATATGAGATTTAAGAGTTTGTGTCACGGCACTAGCTACTTAATTGATGCGTTTAGATTTTCGGTAGAATTTTGCAGTCTATGGTTTGATTAATTTGCAAAAGGAAAAAATAATTGAAACGAAAAGTTACGACAGCAAGTGGAAAACGAGAGATGAAAAAATCATTCAATTATTTGGTCCAATCACGAAAAACGAGTCCACACATTTGGTCCTAGTTTCACATAGCACCTACAGACTAAACTACCTCAGCATCAAACAAAATAATGGACCTCACTAACCACAGCTGCAAGCGAAGGAGCAACACCTACCAAAAAACAATCAGCCACGAAACACTCAACAACAGTGCAAAAGGTGTTACCCCAGACAACTCAGAAGCAACACCAGGAATGATCTATCTGCAGAACAAATACAACCATACACATATACTACAACCAACCACACTCAATAATCTAGCTGCAAAAAGATGACAACAACCATGCTCAAAATAGCATGATTGATTTCAATACTACTTTGAGGATATTTCTATTAAGACTCAGTCACTCACTAGCTCACACTTCCCTTGTACAACAACACGAAAAGATTCCAAACCTTGACAGACCAAAACAAAATTATCCAGCCAAACCAACAACGAGCTTCTCGACCCCAAGACAAGCTTACACTCTACCATTTCAAACCAATGGCGGATCCAGAAATTTAAGAATGGGGTCTAAAATTTTAATTTTCTTTTCTTAAAAACAATGGGTATGCAAAAAATTTAATTTTTTCTTTTTTCTTAACACATTAAGCTAAATTTAACCATTTTTTCAAAATAATGGGATGCACTTGGCCCCTCATCCGCCACTGTTCCAAACTAGTTAACCGAACTAACACTTTCCAACAAAGACAGCTACTACTCCAGCTATAAAATTTTTATAACTCAAAACTTATTTAAAATTTTTTCGAGTTGGATGGAGTTGTTTGAGTTTCTGTTTAAATTTAATTATAAATATTTATAATATTATAGTACCATTGTGTAAGTAGATCCAAATCCATATATATATATATATATATATATATCTTCATATTTTTTCATGTGTGATTTACATATATCAAACAGAGTTGAGGTACTCAACTCGAACTTGAAAACTAATCTACGAATTACTAAAAAATTTGAGTTATTCGAATTAGAATATTTTTTTTTCAAGTCGAGTCGAATTGAAAATTCCAATAAATGTTGATTTGGTCCAATCGTTAAAAATGGTTCACACATTTGGTTCTGTTCATGTTAAATCTTGTCACTTTTAATATCCCTATCAAACTTAATTCTGTAACATAAACCCTAAGGATAACATTGCAAATGTGAAAGTTGAAAAGGATTGATGTATTGAGACGTATGATTTGGGGTACAGTGGTGAAACATGCTGGCTTTGATTTGTGTGAATCACGGCACTCGCTATGTCAATTTCATTTTATGAACAAAAGTCTTTTCGGTCAACTCTATTCTATAAGTCTTTGTTTCTGTCCATTCCCTAATTTCCTCGAAATACACTGAAACTAGGCTGAGACAATCAATCCTTTTCAACTTTCACATTTGCAATGTTATCCTTAGGGTTTATGTTACAGAATTAAGTTTGATAGGGATATTAAAAGAGTGATTTAGGATACTTAGGATTTTGGTATTAGATATCGAATTTTAAGATACATATGATATCATATATTTGTACGCTTCTGTTAGAGTATGCCCAAAGACCAATCATATGATGATTGTAATAATACATTTATTTACTGATTTTATTGAATAAAGGCATTGCCACTATTATTGATCCATAGTCAAGTATTATTATGGGCATGGACAATAATAATACGCTTAAGACTACATGTTATTGATTGATATCAAGGAGTTCATTGACATAGAGATGTCATAATTGATACATGATATATTGTTGGAACAATTATTGGATTGACCCATCATGAGCATATGTCTTGGATTATTATGTAACGGTCATAACATTGCTCATGGTGATAACTGTATGTATGATCCTCAGACTTGAGATCAATGTCATCCCAACATATATTGTTGTATATTTTGATACAGTTAAATATGCTCCGTAACTTGTTGCACTATAAAAACTGTTATTGAATATATCTCGATATATGTAGTGGGGTGTATAAAGTTAAGATAGAATTTGTCCTTCCTACATAATAGGAAATATATCAAATGCCACTTGATTGAGTGAGACTAGAAGTGCATGGCCATGCTCGAATAAGTTGATATGTGATATCATAAATATCGTTAATAGTCTAATCTAGATATCAAGAAACAATAGATGGGATATACAAGTGTGACTGTTCTAAGACTTGTGCCTATTCTATATATAAAGGACAAAAGGATGTAATACATAAAAGAGTTAATCACGAAGATGATATGTCGAATCATAATTTCTTGTAACTTAGGTGACAATGATATATTGCTAGATGTCACTCATTGTATGTAATATTAGAATTGTTCTAATAATTATTACTAATGTTACAAGAACCTACAAGGTCACACCCTATGATTGAAATGAGCAAAGATGTACAATATTTTGTATGCTATTAAAATATATCTAGAGTTAAAATATGTATATTTGATATACATACATTTTTATATCCCGAATATTAATTAAGCATTAAAGAATGTAATTTGATTACAACTCTTTTAATTGATATATATATATAATTCGGAATAATTAAATAAGTTATTAAAAACATTAAAGATTATAATTCAGATTATAAGCCTTTAATGTATATTTAATTTCAATTAATTAAATAATATTTTATTTATTAATTCGAAATAATTTTAAAAACCCTAAGATGTTAGGGTAATTGAGATATAAACAGGAAGTAAGGTCTAGCAGCCTCACACACTTCATTCGTTTTTTCAAAACTGATTTTGGGAAAAGAAAACTTTGCTCTCAATCGGGTGAACTAAGTAGAGGCCGAGACGTGTTTTCGTGGAGGCTTTGGATTCGACAGTTCGTGATCACCACTTCTCACTGCTCCGATTTTGGTTTTACGTACTTGGATCGCTGGTGAGACCGTCGTGTTTTGTTTCCGCTGCGCCGTGGGGGGCGCCGACAGTCCCAGCAGTGGTATCAGAGCCACTTGTACGATCCGAATTTGGGTTAAATTCTTGGTTGATGCGATATGTATGGTATGCATGTTCTAGTTTTATCGTTTTCGGTAAATATGCATGATATCATTGTTCGAATCAATAACCGCAACGATTAATATGCTAATTTGTTAATATGTTTTACAATCGATTTGTTGCTGCAAGGATTTTACGAATTCCATATGTCAATCGTTGACATGATGATCCGTGGGAGTGCGATAGCATATCGCGTTTGGCAGTGGAATAATGGTTGTTCCGATGCAGAAAACCTTCGGGATTGAAAATCCCAAAAGCCCTTGACCCCTCGTCAGCAGTACAAATTCAAGGCCCATATTAATGTTTTTTTAACAAATGTGTAACAACGTGTATATATATATATATATGTTTTTTTGCATGGTGTTTTACATGCATGATTATAGCCCTTTTAAAATTTACAATGGTTTATTTTGAAATACGGTCTGCGAGCCGTGCCTTTCTATATCTCTGTTGTATTTCTCTTCTCATCTTACTCACTCGTATCTAAAACGAGTTTCTTTTAAAATTGTAAACCTATGAAGATTCAAAAGGAGCATAAGAATGGCGAGAAGATACCTAGAGAGCAGTCTTAGGCTTTAGGGTTTTTTGGTTCTCCCATTGGCTTGGGATGGGCCACCTTAGTCATTGTTTTGGGCTATAACCATTGCATCTTATTTATTGCTATATTTGTTATGTATGCAATGCATCAAATGATAAGATAAGAATAAATATTGATGAGATCAATAAGGGCCTAATATTAAAAGGAGCAATGATGATATAATTACGCAAATCCCTCTTTATAATCTAAGTTAAATTAACCGTCCAATATTTACCCTCATTAAGGCTTCGATCAATTTTGTGTGGGTTTTGCCAAAGCATTGGCACATAAATCTATCTTGGTTAAACGCGAAGAATAAGCAAGTGATATTAACCGGTTGAGATATTGGTAATAACATAGCTAGGTTATTCTAATAGGATTAGAAACCTAGAGGTTAAATATTTGGATAAGTCATAAGATGACTTGAACAAGAGTTGTTCACCAAAATGAGGAGTTACATGAGATGTAACTAGTAAAGTGTTACTTACCTAAATAATCACTATCCTAAAAGAAAAGCCAAAGCTGATTTTGGAAATTGATATATTATGGATCCTCATCCACTAGAAAAATTTTCATTGAATTTTTCCGAAATTAAAACAGAGAGGGTTTTTAATTTTGAATAAATTAATAGGAGTAATTTGTAAATAAAGTCCTATTTATAAATTTTAATTTGGTAAATTTACTTACTTTAATATTTCCATTGTTGTAGATTTAATGGCAAACAACACTTTATCACTACGATCACTCCTTGAGAAGGATAAACTTAATGGCATAAACTTCCTTGACTGATTTCGTAATTTGAGAATTGTTCTCAAACAGGAAAGGAGCTCATGGCAAACAACACTTTATCACTGCGATCACTCCTTGACTGTTCCTGATGAACCAGC